GTATGTCTTAAGTGGAGAGAGGTCTCCAATGCAGAAAAACTTCTTTTCATCTGAGAGGAGTTTTTTTATTTTGTTTGATAGGTATGTGGATCCACATTCGAAGGTACACTTAGAGTCAACACTATTACATAATTGCAATCATTAGGTGATTGGGGAATTGAACCCGAGTATGGGCGCCTATAGTTAAGGGCCTGGGTGCTAGTGCTAGTAATCGTTTCCTTCAAATAAAAAAGAATATAAGAATGCACTAGCCTTCGTAATAATTATACAGCTCAATGTGTCGCACAGCTAAACCCCATTGGATTGGCGGATTTGTACCAAGTCTTTCCGTGAAAGAATATCTCACACTCTCTTGCATTTTCAACAACAAATATTCCGATTCTCCTAAAATATTTGCCAGTCACCGACCGCTGCTGTCATCACCCTATTGTTTGGGAACATGTGTGTCACACAGTCAACAACCTAGGTCACCGCCCGGTGTTGCAACCCCTGACCATTGCCAAGAGTATTTTCACGCAGGCCTAATTTTAATTTCGCCGAGAGTCCTAATTTTACCGGAGAGGTTTATAATTTTAACCTCCGGTTGTGACGTCTGGAGTCCTCTTCATGTAATGAGGCCTGGACTCTTCACTCTTCACCCTTCAGCATCGTCAAGCACTGCTTGCCGCTACAAATAACCTCCAGGTGTTCTAGAAACTACTTATCTTGGTTTACTGATGAATGACAATGTTTGGCAATGTAGAAAAGATATCTGGTAGGAATGCGTTTGTTGATAGGCAATAAGGTTACTTTTTCATCGGTATGTTTTACTATGACCAAATTCAGATTGGGCGACTCACTAGGAGTGTATTAACTCAAATATAAGTTGAGAATGAAGATTTGTGAGCTGCTGTGTGCAGCTTTGTTACTTGCTGACTAAGACAAGGTTTTTTTCATCAGCCATAATGATTTATTAAGGGACTCGAACCAACAAAGGGGAAATTTGTCTTTAGAATATTGTACTAAATAGTTTACAAACTACTCATTGGTCTTTATGAAGATATCAGGAAAGTACAACCATTGACTTTAAAAGGGCAAGTAGAGTTCTCATCATATTTTTAAACAACTTTAAAAATATGTTGATGCCTGTGTAGTAATTTAGTTTGAAGTAACGTTAAAATATGCTAACACCAACTAAATCGTATTTTCTAATTTTATGGTGAGTACCGGTACTGGATCTTTACAATTTGTGTTTTTTCTTCGATGAAAATACCATAGGATAAGCAACAGTGTAATCCATGTTAAGACTTTACTCAGTCACCGTACATAATTGGGACTTTTAATGATTTGCTGATAAGTAAGTGGGCTTAAGAGTCAGTTGATCTTAATAGTAATAAGTAACAATAGTCAACCCACCTATTCCACGCGCTTATTGCTCATTCATATCTGGTTTAAACGTGCTTACACTATGCATTTAGTTATGTTTCCATTCTTTCAAGTTCCCTGCGCAATGTGGGTTGGATCCCATTGATATTGTTAATTTAATACTTGAATCCGTTTAAGTAAAAATGATATTCAAGCATAATCCACAAGACTTTTTAAGATAATACAAAATGTTTTGTTTAAACAACAGCTTTTGATGAATTTGTTTATGTAATATACAGGGTGAATCTTATAAGCTGTCCTAAACAGATTACAGACGAACGGCTTGACATACAGAGATGAAACAAAACTTGTCCCCACTAATTCATACCCAAGGAACAACGTAAAATTGTTTTTACCATTTTTAAAATACAGGGTGTTCAAGAAACTGGGGGTCATGGGTTCGAATCTCAGAGTTTTCAAATGTAAACATATGTCATGTTATGCATCATTGTAAAGCTCTAGACTAGACAAACAATTTAGTGAAAATAGAACTCATTTATCCTAAACACCCGTCCGTTTCAAAATGGCGGCCATTTTTATAGAAAATATTGATATTTACAGAATACCCTGTATCTTGAAAACCACTAAAGTTATTTTCGTTCTGTTTGAAAATTCTTAATCCTCGTAGGTTCAGCTTTCATTTGATATACGACAAGTCAACATTTAAAAAACTAAATATTTTTTCTATGATTTAATTTTTTTTTAAGTTGGTAGCCTTGTAAATGAAAATTTTTAAATGGCAACATATGTAAAAGTGTATATAGTTTAGAAGGTCTTGTAAAAACAAACAACTTTTAAATTTAAACCTACCGTCTATCTTTGGTCGTTTTATAGTAATTAACCAAAAACTCCAATTGCCCATATAAAACTCATGTTAAACGCGCAGTACCATGGGAATAGTGTATCTCCATCCACTAATCTTCAGTACTGCACGTTTAACATGGGTTTTATATGGGCAATTGAAGTTTTTGGTTAATTACTATAAAACGACTAAAGATAGATGGTAGGTTTAAATTTAAAAGTTGTTTGTTTTTAAAAGACCTTCAAAATTATACACACTTTTACATATGTTGCCATTTAAAAATTTTCATTTACAAGGCTACCAACTTATAAAAAAAATTAAATCATAGAAAAAATATTTCGTTTTTTAAATGTTGACTTGTCGTACATCAAATTAAAGCTGAACCTACGAGGATTAAGAATTTTCAAACAGAACGAAAATAACTTTAGTGGTTTTCAAGATACAGGGTATTCTGTAAATATCAATATTTTATATAAAAATTGCCGCCATTTTGAAACGGACAAAGATAAATGAGTTCTGTTTTCACTAAATTGTTTGTCTAGTCTAGAGCTTTAAAATTATGCATAACATGACATATGTATACATTTGAAAACTCTGAGATTCGAACCCATGACCCCCAGTTTCTTGAACACCCTGTTTTTAAAAAATGGTAAAAACATTTTTACGTTGTTCCTTGGGTATGAATTAGTGGGGAAAAGTTTTGTTTCATCTCTGTATGTCAAGCCGTTCGTCTGTAATCTGTTTAGGACAGCTTAGAAGATTCACCCTGTATACGAGTCGAACAACAATAAATCGTCCCCAATTTATTTTATGTTTTAGTGTCTTGGGTCAAGTACGAGTATTACATAATGTTTGCAAGACTTTCTTATGCGTAAAGTATATATTGAACATTGTATTATGTGCCAGAACACTAAATTTTAATTTTACCGTGCTTGGTAACAGCTCCTTTGAGACAAGGTGCACAAAATTGTCGAACAGGTATACCTAAACATTACTTTATCTACTCCGCCAGTTATATTTTGTTGTGCAATCGCCAATATAAACATTGAATTTCATTTTATAATTTATCTTCTATGAAACACTTTTACGATTACAGGTTTTATTTAAAACCTCATCAATTGCAATTTATAACGAGCATTTTGTGAACAAAAACATTCGTAATGCAATTATTAGAATATTGTATTACCAAAAGCTACTGAATATACCATTAATCTTGTTCAACCAAAACGATTTCCCTGAATCGTTTCCGATGAGTTAAAGCTAATTCCATTGTCCCCGTCATCATTAGTGCCCTTGATTGGTAATGGTACACAACAAGGGTTAGCATTACTTAGCGAAAGATAACATGGCTTGTTTTTAATGACAAAAACTGCGCTCACTGCCAAAAATTTACAAACCACAATAAATAAATAACACTTTTGTATGCACACTTTAGACCCAGGATATCACGCAAAATCCAAACATTTCCTAGATATTTTTTTACAATTACCCAATAAATTAACCGGTAGATAGTTACCTTGATCATTTGGAAAAGTATATTATAACAACGAATAGTTACACTATCAAGTAACAATGGTCAATAGCAACTATTTAGTTGAAGGACTTACTCGGAGATTGCACTAATATTACTATGAGGTAATGTAAGTTTAAACAACCATGGTATTGATATATCTTAAAAATCTCTTTCTTTTAATGAAAATTCTCTAAAGTTTCCTTTAAATAGACAAAGGTTTCCCAATAATTTGTTTTGCCCTTTTATTCCACATGAAAACGAATGAAAAATATTTGTATTATAATAACTGAACACTTTAAGGTAATTTCGCTTTTTTAATGTCTTAACTGATAAGCACATGAGAAGTAGACTACTTCTTTCGATTAATGACCGTTATTAGTAGAAAACTTTTATCTGAAAATTAGGAAGTAATTTCGCTTGTATATCAACAAAAATTGTCAGTAAATCTTTTTGAATACCGACCCGTTTGTGTTTAAAAGCAATATAAGGGAGGTTATGTCAACAAAGACCAAAAGCCCCGTTCTTATACACTCAGCCGCTGAATAAAAACCAAACAAATAATGTGTGTGTGTAATAAAGTGTGCAAGATATCGGCTAAACGTACAGTCTACCAAACACATATACAATTTTCCTATAGCCACCCGACAAAGTGGGCTTCTTTGCACAGTTTTAGTACAGAAAGCCTTACTTTGGCACACAGTTTTTACTTTGGCGCACACCAGTATTCTAACCAAACAACACAAAATAGCGTGCTTTTATTAAACACGTAATCTGTGTACGCTTGAAAATAAGTTGGCAACACTTAAAGACATTACGACTACGATCAGCTGGTACAGCGTTTCCCATTTCGTCCAATGTTTGGATTTAACCTAACCTAAAAACATGTTGTATAGTGTTTTAAAGACTATTTAGTTAAATGGTTTATAGTAACTGTAGGAAAAATATAATGTGTAACACGATCGCAAATTGCCTTTTCTGCACTCGATAAACTCTCCACACGAGTCTCTTGTATGCAGCAATCTGCCACTTCGCCCACTAGTTACACAAATAGGCCTAACTATTATTTTCTTATGTTTATATAAATATTATATATATTTTTTATTATATTTTACTGGATGCCGATTCTTAATTGAGTTTACCTGTTACCTAAATTTTAATTTAATTTTTTTTTTTTTATCTTAACATGTAGCCTGATCACTATCTATCAGCAGGTGTTGGGTGGCATCGCCCGCCCCCCGACGGCGCGCCGCGGCGCTGTGCTAGCAGTGGTGGTGTCAGTCAGTGAGCGGCGTCGGACAGTGATCAGTGGCGTCGAGACGTCCTACTCCACTAGCGTCCCACCAGGTAGACATCATTTGTGTTCTATAAACATTATGATGCCACTATCCAGCACAATAATAATAAAGTATTGCAGATCATTTAAGGCTATGAAATGATCTTATTTACCGAATCCTAATTCTATAAAAAAAAATTGATTTACAATAATTAATTAACTGAAATCGTTTACAACAATATCATTATGTAACTTTAGTTAACATTTCGTTGATAATATACTGTATTTCAGTTATTGAGTAAATTAAGTTGTTTTGTTAACGACCTCCAATTAACATTTGTATAAACATTTTATTTTGTAACCTGACTACAACTACAATTTTTTGAGCAGGATAAAACATAACAATGCGTACCAGGAACTCTTACTTGGAATACTTGAAATTATATAGATATCCAAATTAATTTTCAAAACAATAACAATAGTATCAAATTCATGTACCTATTGCAATGATGAACGTTTTTTATATTCTTATTTGTATTTTTGTTATTGACATCAAAGCTATTTAAGAACAAAAGAAGATTTACGAACTTATAAAATGGACTTTGTGTTTATTTCGTATGAGAAAATGGTAGATTTTCGTAGGGTTTAAAAATAGTGGAAAGGAGTGTAAAAAATAAGGAACAAGTAGTGTAGTTTAACAAAGCAGTTTTTTTTTCTTTTATTTGTAGGTTAATAGACTACGTTTCGTCTTTCAGTTTATGTCCAGTGTTAAAATTATACTAAATTGAGATAACATTATTAATTGTAACAAAAACATTTGATGTCATCACTATTTTAAACAACTAGTTGCTCTGCCCGTGCTTCGCAACGGAATGACAATACAGGAGAGAATAATTCGGTTTTTAAAAATCTACAGAATATATAATTGAATTCTCAACCCAATACTTGCTTTATATTAAACCATGTGTTGTTTGTTTATATTCAACTAACAACATTTACACATGACGCGAACTATCTTGACACTTGACAAATTCCATGAAGTAAGATTTATATTAAACAGCTGGGTTGGTACATTTTCTTCGTCATTGGTATTTGATAGCCTGTAGGGCAAAGCCCGAGGACTTTTTTTTACAGGAATTGGTGAAATGGGGTGCCTACACAAAGAATACTTAATTTTGAAACATCATTTGTAAATATCCATCCATTATTAACGGATGAGTAGTGTTTCGTAGAAATCACCTTCGCGTATTATTTATAAGGAAATAAGGATTAATGTTAAAATTTTCAGCTCAGTGTTTAGGTTACTATTGTTAAATTTAGTAAAAAGATTCTTCATGGAGATTTTACAAAAATAATTAATAATGGAACAATTAATTGCAACAATTATACTGGTTTGTTTGTATTTTATAGAAGAATAATGACATAATAGATATATCAATAACAATTTAGTTAGAACAATATTATATCACCTACTAGACCTACACATTTATTTTTGTATTTAATGTGTAATTATGTTAGGAATAATTATCACCATTTAGTAGACTAGTAGTTTGAATTGCAGTGAAACGTTAAACTAATTTTATATTTTTAGCACTTTCTTGATACGTTTTATAATGAACGTATTAATACGTCCCTAGCACCAAAGTTTTAAATGTGAACTACACGTCAAATTTAACTACAGCTGGTTTGGAATTTCAAAATTATTTATTCCTTGTTATTATTGCAGAAAATTTCTTCACAAAACTAAACAAATCCGACAAATCTCTGTGGACTAGATGGTTAAATATCCGTGGTTTGTATTTTTTTAACAAGCTTATATTTTAATGTGTTTGTTAATGTATTCTACCATACCCAATGAGAAGGTTAATATGTTGCTGCATTTATTTATTTTCTGAAATCCTGTTAGTGTTATTTCCATTACCACTGCGATACTTGCGAAATATCCAGTAAAAAGTATAAACTGTAAAAATTGTTTCGTCAAATTTTTAGTTTAAAAGCCTTTAACAACTGAAAATTTGAAAAAACTTAATATTTGCAGAACACATAGCCTATTTAAATAAATCTGCAGCAGTAAACATGCAGACTTAGCGAATTTCCTATAGCGGGAATGGAGCTTTACTTAAATATATGTCTGAATTACATATATACAACATATTACATATTTACATATTACATATTTTTTTGTCTATATTAAAATAATATATAACTCTAAGCGAATACTTCGGAAGTTGAAATAAATAACCCAAATTTCAAATGATACATCCACAAACAATATTACTAATAATAATAATAGGTCAAATACCTTATTTACGTCTTCAATCAAAGTCGTCTTTTATGATGACTATAGTTTCGGGGCCAACACCCCCATTGTCAAATCTTCTGTCTTGTTTGCGTGTGTCAGTGTGTGTGTGTGTGTGTGTATGTGGACTTCAACGATGACCAATGCATTAACAGTAATTTAACAAGACAGAAGATTTGATCTTTTGGCCCCGAAACTATAGTCATCATAAAAGACTACTTGGATTGAAGACGTAAATAAGGTACTTAACCTATTACTATTAGTACTCTTTATCAATCCAGGAGGCAAAACATGGATCCACAAACAATCAAATTACAACAGTTTTATTTATTCTCCAGAGCAAAAACATGAGGATTTAAAATTTACAGTTTTAATGTTTTCCCATATCGGGAATGAGTTATTACCGTAGGTCTCATGATGACCTGGACCCGGGACTGCTTTACTTCTTCGTTTTTATGTCACCAGAGACCAAAAACTCGTAAATATATACTGTATATATGTTTCCTCTCTCTCTACACATAGGAATATACACGCTTATACCAAATTTTATTAAAATCGGATGATTGTTACAGGCCTATAAGGGAACTAAAACGAACAAGTAAATCGGTCCCGGGTTCAGGTCTTACAATGAACCCTTCAATAGATTTGTTATATGCAACATTCTATAAAACAGAAGCCTTCTTCAAAAGGTTTATTACGCATTTTATTTTGAAATTTCATACAATAAACAGGGTATTCTGCCTGCCTAAATTGATCTTAGATATATAATAGCTGTGTTTAAACTACAATAGCTGTCAACTCTACACACTCATTTTTACGTGATTAGGTAAAAAACTCACCAAAAGAAGTTTCAGTTAATGATATGATGTTAACACCCTTTGTAGTATTTAAATGTAATAGCTTTAGTCAGGATCTGTTTCTTCTGTTTGAGAGTTTTGTTTAGATAAGTTTTTTTAATCGTTGATAAGCCGAATATCTACCCTAAGTCACGAAGTATATCACTTTCCAATACCGTTTTACTGCAATAATAATACATTTTATCATAATATTGGTAACTGTTTTCAGTTAAGTGTTAAAAATATTCGTAAGCCTCAACAATATAGCAAGGATATCATTTAATATTTCACTCGCAATGGCTCGGTTACCATCTTTATATTTAAGCCTTAATAATTCTTACTCATCTGGAAAGTGTAAATCTGTTGAATCGCCGAGAGAGTGTAACGGCGAGGTTGTTACGACTGGTCGTCTCTAACTGGACGATCCAAACAGTGCTATCTTTAGACAAGTTTACAGTCTGGTTAATACAGGAAACTGGCGAAAAGCTCAGCAGTAAAACACAGAATGTGCTAAGTAGCTGAACACAATAACACCACTTAAGTTATCAAGTCGGGTTTATGTTATGGTCGCCTGTTTTCATGCTGTCCGTGGAAAATAGTAGTGTGAAAAATAGAGGGTGTAAAATTTAAGTGAGTCATAAGACGGAGAAATCTGCATAGATTTTACAAGCGTGTTTCGGCCGAGATGCCGTCAGAAACGAAATTATGAGATGTTTTCAGTTGCGTGATGAAAATATCTCAAATTGGGAGATTGACGAGGCAATTTTACTGGCGTATCCATTGAATTGTAAACACATGTGATCGTATTCATATTAATAATTTATTGACTTCAAATACGTATTTTCAACCTTCATAAGAACAACCTCTTCAGCATTCAACCTAAGTGTTGAATTATTTTTTTTTATTGGACCTGGTTCTCTACTACCCAGAACTAATGGGAAAACACAAATGTATCATGAATTTTGCAAACCTACTTAAAATATCACTGTTTCAACTTGACAAATTATTGGAAACAAAATTATTGAAAATTAGTTTATCAACTGATCTAACGGTAATTAAATCCCCATGTCAAATGTTTTGCAGCTTGTAGCTATAGGTAGGATCCCGAAGGGAATTCCGAAAAAAATCTTTCTTAATGAATATCTCCTTTATGAAAACAGAGTGTAGCAAGATGTCGTGATTCTAGGTTCTATAGCGTTAAATCAGCATATCAACATCTATAATTTTAATTTTTAACGTTCTAACCTATCCGTAAAGCCAAAAATAACACAATTAAGTAGGCCTACGCTCAAAAATCAAAATTCTCCTTCCACTTCTGGATTTTCTGATAACCCTACAGTAATTAAATGAAGTGTCAGCTCACTAATGTGGCGGGAAAGCAAACTAATTTTTGGCGGGAGTTGAGGATGTGGTTAATCAAATCTTGACAAGTCATTCATCACCGGGACATTGACTGATACAGAGCAAATAGGTGGGAAACTCCATCCAGTAGTTATTGATTGAGATCCTGATTACCATAAATGAAACTAGTATTTGAATCACTGAAATTACAGTTTTATTGTCATCGACATCTTTTCTGACTTATAATTTGAGTCTGAAATTCTCTAGCTCTTAGATAGTTTATTTAGTTAACATAAATGCATGCAAGCTGATAAAGTTGAACTCTAGTTTATAACTAAGTTAGCCACTCTCGCTTGAACATTACGCGCCTGTTGTTGACGTTATGCTTCTCAACTTATATAAACTCTGTTAACTAAAAGTGTTGTCTCGCATTTGCTACTAAATAACTTATAAATTGTTTTATACCAATCTATTTTCAGTTGAAATGTTACCAGTACTAAAATAACCGGTGAATAATTAGACCATTTGTCACTATGTGTGTTAAGAAAACCTTGGTTTGTTTGAGCGATGTTACGGTGAAATGTCAAGTTCGATATGTTTAGCAGGGTTTGGAAGACGTATGTAATGTAGCTGTTTCAAACATTTTCCAAATGTTTTATATTGAACATTATATTGGCCGAAATTCAAAATCACCATATGATGCTTATCTCAAAACATTGCGTGGGAAAATTGCTTAAATATGAACCTTTTATTTATGAAAATATTATTTATGACTTGATCAACTGCACATTAAAATCTTTTATCAATACTATATTGTAAACTATCGCAAATTTGTATATCTTTCCTTATATTATTTTTGCGAATCTCAAATAAATGGGTAGCCCTAGTGGATGCACCTTTGGGAGAAGTGGGTATCGATATTGTTGAAAAAATACGTCACTTTTATTTTCAAAGAAAACCAACCAAAATGTAGAGAGAGGTTTGATAATCTCCAACGAAAATATGGAATGAAAATATTAACTGTAGACCTTTCTATACTTTCTCCACCTTGGTTTACGTACTAAACGCAATATTGTAGTTTAGGGTTTTGTTTTACAAGCTGTGAAAATTGTTTTTATCAGCATTGACTATATGAAACACCCAATATGTTAACACGTTTTAAATATGTATTGTCATTGATTTATTATATGCATGTAAATCACGATATGAAGAATCAAGAAAAATATTTTTAGATTAGTTTGGAATCAAAAATTGTTCATTCAAGAAAACATATTGAAATTTTACTCTCTGAAAGGGCAGAGTAGTTGGTGTGCTTTAAATCCCAAAATCAAAAATAAGACAACGTATTTTTAAAAGGTTTAACGTACAGAATATAATCCGTTCAAAACCTTTAAGAACATCCATACCAATTTAAGAGAATTCAAACCGCATAGGCCGCTTAGAAAGTGTAAACCTTTATTTGATTTCTATCCACCACCTCCATAAAATTAATCGGTCAAAATTGCATCGATGAAAATTCATTCTTGCTTTAAAATACTCTTAAAAAGGTCCTCAATAACAAAGGAACCCAACTTAAAAGTATTGTTTACTTAACAAAATTTAATTCACAAGGTGTTTGTAAATATAATAAATGAACCAACAAAAAGTTCCAATAAATAAACTTCATAAGGTGTAATCACGGATTTAGTAGTTTAAAACCGAAAAAGACTGCTCCAAAATATATACGTATTCAAGAATCACACGCAGACGGCTTTGGCTAGATGACAGTGCATCTACCTCTATTAATTACATAAAACCTTCAACAAACTCCACATTCATAACTTCAGCACCAACGTGTGTGACTCAGTCCCTGATGTTGGTAATGAATTACCAGAGAGCGGTTTTTATTTTCGCTCCTCTTGTTTGTTTAGAGCTTAACTTAGCGTTTAACTTGGCACCCTTGGCACCGTTTCCAGACGAACTGTATACATCTTAATGGTCGGAATTTGTACATTTTCGTTTAATAAACTGAAACAAAACGTGCCAAAAGTCTCAACAAGGAATAAAAATTACCAAAATAGCTTAAGATATTAAAATTAACAATCGAATTTGTCAAACTTTACAGGAATTTGGTTTTCTATTTGCCTACTTCTAATTTGGGTGGAGGGAAAATAAATTAGCTTTCCCAAGCTGATTATCAACAATTTAAAAGTTTTAGTTGTTTATATTTATTATGATCCTATTTATGGTTTCTAGATAGCTTAAATTGTTCAATGACTATTGGTATTACGTAGATAATCATTCTAAACATGACAACTTTTACCAATTTAAGGTTGAAAGAGTGAGCGAGGATGAGTTTAAAAGTTTGATATCGCAGAGACAATCGTCACAAAGTTTTAACTCGTCTTTATACCTCAAATTATTATTTTTTGTTTTATTTAATTAATCTAATTACTTTTGTTATTTTTTGTTATGGACCATGGACTGAGGATGATTGAAGTTACAGTATTAATAATTTGAAGCGTTGGTAACTGGAAAATAATAATTAAAAAAGTTGCAATGAAACATACTCCATACAAATCAATCAAATATGCTCTATACTAATCTACTGACGACAAGTTAAACGTTAGGGTTTACTTGAAATGTTTTCGTGAAGCCTACTTCTATTTATAGTTTCCATCCAACCATTATCATCAATATAATCGGTTCATATGTACAAAAAAACGTGCACCAAACAGCGTTTGATTATTAAACAATATTATTTAAAACAATTTTTTATAGTATGATTTCACAGGGACATGTGGCAGATAGTGCCTAGCTAACGGACTGTAAAACACTATAAACTATGACTAATGACCACGTCACAGAAAGAAGCGTACTTGACTTGCTCTCTGAAGATGGCTTGAAACGTCAGAACTAGGCATAAGACTCTGTCCATGATGCAGGTATATTCAGCATAGTTTATTAATAATATGCGTAACAATTCGGCTTAGCATTATGAATATTTCAATAACTAACACCGGCTCCAATTATTATCAAAACCGGCGTTTCAAATTTTTTGGTGGTTGCCGTTTATTTAGAACTACAGTATATAGTTAATACACATTATTATTAACAACTTTTATCATGAAGCAAAAGTTCTGAAAACATTCAAATAAATTCACAATGCATGACATCTATGCTGTTAAGGTTTCATAAATATCTTTTATATTTGTTTACATTGTGTGAATTATTTTAGCCATGACATGGTGTTTGAAACCAAAAAACAGCGCTCTTTTACATTCTGACAGTTATACATAATTGTATAAATCAGCCAAAATAGACAATTTTTATTAATACGTAGAATAAAACAATTTCAACATTTTTATGTACCCGGTGTTCTTCTGTAGAGCTCCAAACTGAGTGTCTAAACCTTTTTATTATGTTTGTAGGTTGTACCGTATTTTTTTAAAATCGGAATCCCTACTTTTTACAGTGTCTTATAATAGTTTATGTTTGTTTATGTTTGTGTGTAATAACTTATCTAAGTTTGTTGTTTGTTACGTTTGCAGGATGAGGGCGGACCGGGCTAAGGAGAGCAGCCTCCACCGCATACAGGAATGTCCTCTGCAGGAGGTTGACCTGGAGACGGACTACGAGGTAGACCGCGACCTGGGAGAAGGCTGCTTCGCCAAGATTGTGTTGGCTACTCACAAGCAAACCGGCACTAGTGTAGTGCTCAAGATGATCCATGAAGAACTCACCACACTCAAGTACGTGAGATCATTGAATATACACCTTAGTCAATGGTGAGACAAACCTCAATGTAGTCGATACAGTGTTGGAATTAGTTAGAAAAATAGCTAGGTGTGCTTGAACACTTTTCATATAGTTATTGCGATGATGTGATCGATCGCATGATTTTTGTGAATCAACAATTGATAGAATAATAATGAGTGGGTGTACTAATAGTATTCACTTCTTAAATAACTATACATACCGGTAATGTTAAAATGTTCTAATCATATTTATTTTTCCTTCGACCTAACCATTTCGAGGACAATCTGCAATTATCTTCACCCATGCATTAAACTTTGCACATAATATTTCCCAAACATATTATTAGGGTGTTACAAAGAAATTTGTGTGTAGCCACAAAACAAAACAAAAATTAGTTATACAGTATTGTAGAGAAAGGCAGTACATTATATTTTACTACTAAAAGCAAATTAAGCTTCTCTAAAATTTCTAATTCCTAGCTCGAACATAAAAAAATGAATACTCAAATAGCAAAGATTTATGGTTTTCAACTGGTACAGATGTCAGAGACATTACATAATTTTCAACGTTCTCAAACAAATTCTCTTCCAGGTGTAACATGTCATCAATCTTACAATGTCAACCTGATGTTTCAGAGACTTCTACCGCGAGTTCCACTACAGCTACCACCTGAGTCCACACCCCAACATCCTGTGTTCCTACCCGGTGGCGTTCAAGGCAGCCAACTGCTGGGTGTTCGCCCAGGAGTACGCCCCCCTGGGTGACCTGAGCGGCGTGGTCCGGGCGGGCGGAGTCCCAGAGACTTCGTGCAAGAAGGTAGCTCGTCAATTGTGCTCCGCTCTGGAGTTCCTTCATTCCAAGCAGCTGGTCCACAGGGATATCAAACTAGAGAATATACTGGTCTTCGCTGCTGACCTCAGCACCATCAAGCTGTGTGACTTTGGAGAGACCAGGAAAGAAGGTAATCTTTTTTTTGTTTATGTTTTTATCTTTTTTTTACTGTAAGACCAATTATTCGACACTAGACTCTACGGAATTTCAGGCATAGCAGTTGATCAAAAGTTGGATGGGAAAAGCGAACTTAGTTAGAGATTATCAAAACTGTTTTGGGTATCAAGCTAATAAAGTCGATAGCGGGGAAATAAGTAACCTCAATAGCCTTCATTTCTTATTGTACTCCATAGCAGGGAGCTGACCAATGAGCATTCGTTTTATAATATCAATGGAGACTATGTTTTATCCAAATCTAACTAGACCTAAAGTCTGTGACCATCCTTTGATATCCCAGTCTTAAGTAACGATAGACGCCCCATTAAATAATTGATTTATCTCCTTTCAGTCGTTTTACTCCTCGACATTTCTCCCAGGATGCTGTGTCAATCTCTGCCGTTTTGGACTCAAACGTACTTGTAATTAAAAAATCTATTATTAAATCGCTTTTATGAACTTAAAAATACAACTTTACCATCAACCATTCATAAAGAGCCTGCCCATCCCCTAATAAGCCCCTATATCTTAAGGCAACGTCAGATCGTAGTTTGTGAAATAATTTTACTGTTTAACGTTTACCGAAGGCAACGCTATTTGAATAGGAAATTAATTTGGCTTTTTAAGGAAACTAGGTTAAAACCCATCGAAATCAACTGTTACTGTTGAGGTTTCAAGCAAAATCATGTTAATATCAATCGATGATAAATGAATCCAGTTTGCCAAACGAACTTGGATAAGAAAACCCATTTATAACTCCCACAAGAAATATACAGGGGGAAGTTGGTTTTGTGCATAGCTCGAATATACGTCAGATAAAATAAATGAATGCCGATGGTTGAGGCAAATCTGTGCTTGCATACCTTTAATTTAAGACCAAAATTGTGAAAATCGGTCGGGTATAAGAGCCGACCCGACTCGGAAAAGAATACCCAATAGTTTTGAATATATAGATATTAAATACAAATACAAGCAGACTAATGGAAATTGCTTAGTTTTGCTGTGGCGGGGGTATTAGCGAATTTCCCATAGAGGGAATAAACTATTACCGTGGTAATGGTAGTACTCATGGTAAGACCTGGACCGGGAACCGATTTACTTTTTCGTTTTGAGGTCCCTTGAGGATAAAATCACCATCCGCTCAAATTCATACATCTGTGTGTGTGTCCATAAGCACGATAACTTGAGCAAAAATGATCCGATTTTGATGGAATTTTGCATAAACTTTCATTTTTGTTTGACTTATAACTAGGCAAACAATTATCACATATCATACAGTCAGTATAAATATATAAATAAATGTTTCAATGCAAATAATCTTAGTGCATATTAAACAAGTTTAATACTGCATTTCATTAATTAATTAATTAATTGTATGAATCAACTGTATACTGTTATCACTCTTGAATTAAACGGGCATATTAAAAAAAAAAATACCTCTACCCTTATTAGCTTAACATCAAGATACTTTGAGAGTATACTTCAAAATACATATAGATAATTATGAAATGATAAATTATGATATTTGACAAAAGGCTTTACGATGAAGCCGAGTGTATAAAAAGGTTAGACAAAAACTAAGTTAAGGACAAACCATCCCCTGAGCCTTTGTTGCTATAATTGCTCTGAGCTGCTCTGCTCAATATATCATCACTGGATCTGCTGGTTTATATATCACACAATCAATAAGTTCCATGTTGACTCGGCCTTGTCATTTAATATTTCAAACGTTTGTGATAGTAATTTACTATACACATATCCTATAGTTTTTACTATAGGACATATAGTACAGGAATCAGTAACATGTTGCAATAAAAATGTAATAATGTAACTGTAAGAACACTATAGTTAACTGTGATCACTTTTCCCCGCTATCGCTAATCTTTGAGCACGTTCTTGAACGTTTTTGGAACAAATTAAAAGACTGAGAAAATGAAGGACGACATTTTGTTCTTTTGAAAATCTCTTGCTAGGTTAGATTAGACTGATATAACCAAGTTAAAATCTGTCTACATGCCACTCTCTCTTTGGCTAAAAAGATTGTCTTCTTATGCTTGATGATTAGTAGGTATTGGTTAGGTATTTAATTTGTTGTAGACAATGATGACTGAAAATGACAATGAAAACTGAGTGTTTTAAACTCATTGCGCAATGCTTAGTGCAAGAAAACACACATTATAAATCCACTTGGAAACCAATCATACGTCAAAACACATATTAAAGATTTATCAAAAACTAGCCACTTTACCCGTGCGTGCTTTGCAAAGGGGGGAGATGCGGAAGAGAACAATTTTGTTACTTAAATCTATGAAATACTTTCACATCCATCATCGACTTAAGCAACAAATTTTATAAATACAGCAGTGTTGAAACGAAATGGATTTTTAACATATTATTTCAAATTGAATTTGAACGTCAAATCCAATCCAATTTCCAGGACAGTATTGAAATATATCTGATCAATTTCGAAATATCTTTCCGACTCAATAGACAGTAAAAATATCGCTCAATAAAGCTTTATGGGTTCAAGCTATGTGAACTCTCTTCTGTTGTTTTAGTGTTACAGTCGGATTTGCAATATCCATGTGTATCGTATGCAATATCACTAAACAAACAATCAATTGCTTGTCCAGCGGTTGCCAAGTGGTTGTTGTGAGTGGCAGCTGTCCAACTAAAACACGCGGTTCGAGTGGTCAGTGTTGTCACGCAAAAATCAACACTATTACGTCGATTTTGAGAATGTAAAGTTAGATGACCAATTGTATACTAATTAATTTTGGATGAAATAAGTGCAAACAGTCTTAGAAGAGTTCGAATAGGAGACAATACTGAATGGATATATGAAAACGTCAGATGCATTGTCCGCAGCGTTGAAATAAATATCATATCCGAGAAATAATCAAATTTATGATTTTTGATTGAGTAATACAGTATCTTGAACTTGACTGATTCAAACCAATCGCTCAAATTAAAACCTATATTTACTGATTATTTTGAGTCTAAAACATTTACAAAAACATAAACAATACTGGAGCTATTGATTTATAATAATAGTAAAACCTTATAAAAATAATTTTTATGTTGGTTTTTCACCTTACGTTTGCTTGGAACTCGTCCGATTTGAATAACTAATAGCTTAAATGAAAGCCGGTATTTCACTGAAGGTTCGTATACCGAAATATATAGGATTATATAATTATAACCTGTGAAATACATCTTAAATTGAAATAAGAATTCAAAAATAAATCAAATATATGTTTTTGGTCTAGTAATACAGTATATAAATATAGGCTGATGCTTGATGTGAAATCTTTGCGTGCAAACCTTCAATTTGAGACCTTAATAATGAAAATCGGTCGGGTAAAATAGCCAAACGAATTTGAAAAAAAAAACTATTTTGTTTAATACATAAGACAATGCAAATATAAATTTGCTTAGTCTGCAGGTTTGCTGCGACGGGGGGTATTTTCTCTTATAAAATTAATAATACACAGCCTAATACGCCTGATTTTGTTAATATTAATTGTTCTGTATTGGACTTTATTTTTAAAATACTTGTTTTTGTGTCAATCTCTCCACTGAAATGACTGGGATTATTATCATGAGACATTATAGATAGCCCAATTTAAAAAGGTTATCAGGGTAGAATCAACGCCTCATGGGTTCAAACCATCAATCTGATTTTAAGGCGAGCTCTTAAAACTCTTCGGTGACCATTCAGTTTCATTGCAATTTCAACCTAATAGGGGTGTCCAGCTAATAGGATACACACGAAGTTTGTGGGGTTTTCTTCTGTACAATATGTGCTTTATCCGTACAGGGTTGCTGGTGAACAAAGTAAAGTGTACGTGGCATCAGTTCCTGCCACCAGAGGTGTGTGAGGCAGTCAAGAACGAGAGGTTCCTCTGCAGACCAGCCTCTGACTGCTGGCAGGTCGGCATCGTCCTCTACGTCTGTCTTACAGGTCAGTCCAGACTCCAGAGTATAGTGCTCATTGTAATAATGCATAGTGTTTTTGGCGTCAACCATGTCATCAGTTGGAGATAATTGTTTAACTTTCACCCTTGTGTTCAAGGCACATCCTCAGTCTCAGCTAAGCCACCGAAGATGCATATCAAAGGAGAGAAGAAAGTTCTAGCAGCAATATTGAGCTGACACCAACATATGACAAATCACACCAGCAGCTTTTGCTAACGAATGATTAGTGCGCATTGTGTTCTATATTCTAGCAACAATCGATAGTGAAGACTATTACATTATATTAGACACTACACGTTAAACAAAAACCGAAAACACTTACATTCTTTTTACATTCCTGGAACTTATACCGAATTGGCTGTTGAGCGTAAGGATAAACTGGTGGGTTGAGACTTTGAGGCCTTATTTGATTATATTTACACAAAAAAGGAATTTTGGTTGGTATAAAATTAGATAGATTAAGCCTAAGAGGGTGGGGTTTCAATTTGTATTTCTGGGTTAACTCCAACCAGTAATTTGAGTGCCGTGGTCCGATTGTTTGGAACCCACCTTAAGTTTTAGGCGAACCTCTAAAAAAAGAGGAAAACATTTTTTTATCTGTTGAGGATTTCTTTAATTAAAAGAATCCTTCGACTAAAAACAATAAGGTAATTGTTTTACTACGTAGCCTTCCGAATACTAGCACCAACACAACCCATCATAGATACTTCTAAAATCAAACAAAGTCAATTAATTAATTGAATTGTTTTATCAAAACGGCAGTGTTGTATAGGCAATACGAGTTAATCGTAATGGGCAGAAACTAATAAACTTTCAGGCTTCAGGTAAACCCTTTCGACCCCTTTACATTATAATGTATCACTATCATTGAACTATTTTGGTCAAATTTAATTAATGCAAATTGTTTTCATACTTTTATACACAAATGAAAACGAATCACTGTCTGGACGTAATCAGAATATCTCAATCTTTACTCGAAGTTTTAAAGGTTGAAAAATTACCCTTTTAGGTAGCATTCACGTACCAAGGTAAAGTGGAGACTGAACCCACTGTAGATTGTGCCACAGTTTACTCGGTGTAAGGTATACAATGTAAGGCAGGACGAGCCATTCTCTCCATGTCAACAGTATCAGTATCACTCAGACATTGATTGATACCAATTGTTGACATTGACACACATCGGAGCTTCAATGTAGCATTGCATCTTATAACGTGGCCTAAATAATGTACTTTGAAAATGTTAAGGAGTATATGATGTTGTATAAGAGTATATGTTCCATTGTAAAAAGTCATAATTCTTGTAATTGGCGCTGTCCGTTCGAAATAAATGAATGTATAAATTTTAATGTATTATTATTCGGCTTTCAGGTTGTCCACCATGGAAGAGTGCAGATTTAACCGACCCTGAATACAGGGCCTTTAGTCTGTGGCAACGTCGACGATCAACCAAAGTAAGTGGTATACCACCTATTTTCAAACAAAATATTTAGGTAGTGAAAGAAATGCACCAAATCATGCAAACCTCCACTACTTTGTTGAACGCTTTGTGTAGGCCTAAATATCAAGTATATTCATACTTATTCAGTGATATATTTCATCAGTATCCAAAATTCAATTCCATCACGCAAATACGCCAATTAAACTAGTTCATTAGTGCTGTATTGTGGACAACTAATGTGTGTTTCATCTGTGCATGCTCTGTTATATACAATATTGGTAATATTTTAAGTTTTTTAAGCATGTATTGACATTTTTCTATTAATTAGTTTGACAACATATTAATAGTTATACATATACCTCAAATACAAAAGGAGAATATTCTTATAAAAAGTTTTTTTTTCAGGTTCCAAACCAACTGAAACGGTTCACCCCTCGCCTGCAGAGGCTGTTCAGACGCATTTGGGAGGCCAAGCCGGAAAAAAGAGGTTCAGTTACCGAGGTAAAACAATTGGGTTTTAGCTTGACTCAGTTCTAATTACTGTGGACGTTTTCTTGGGCTAGTACTCAATAGTCGTAAATGAATCCTACCTTGTTTATTTGATCACTTTTTATCATGATGGTTACTCATTGATTTAGGTTTTTATGCTAGTCCCATACAATAACAAAGGTTTGATATTTGCGATACTCTCTGGTGTCGATTAACGTCCGCACTAGTGAGTACTACGACTACCCGCAGTTCTATCCTTATAATTAGACCAATTCGTAAATTACAAGGCAAAAAGGTGGTTTGGATACCACTATGAACTGTAGGTCCCTTAGGCCCCCACACACTATCGAACATGCCGCAGGACCTGACCTGACGACGAACTCAACATCCAATTTGACAATGTCTCGTTTTTCCCACAAACTGTTGAGCATGTTACCACACAAGTATCAGTTTTGAGATGGATTTCGAGACAACTGTAGCTATTTGTGCTGTTTTTCTTCTTTTTTTTGAAACTTTAAAAGAAGAAAAATAGGTGGTGTTGGTCAAAGCAGTGGTTGTTGGAGAAAAAAGTGTAGCCACACGACGCTCCTGGATGTAATCACCATCAATGAGCCTCAAGACTTTAAAAACTATCTGAGGATAAATGAGGATACCTTTGAAGAGCTTTTAAGTCGTGTTTCCATATACATAGAAATGCCAATCTAAGGGTCTATATTATCATTAAATGCCATCATGGGAAAAAGTGTGCACAAGTAACTTGGGGCAAAAACTTCACAACACAACGCACTCAAGTCACAACTGGAAACTGTGGCTAGTTAGGTGCCATTGGCTGTATAGGCTATTAATTACAGTCTTTTCTAAGGAATATGTTTACCTTAGTCAGTAACAAGACTATAAGATTGCGCCACTCATTTCCATTCATACTTGGCCTAAAATACATACATTCATATGGACGCCATTTCTATTAAAAGTATAGATTTGCTTGGTAAAATATATCGTCTAAATCTTGATACAACCACTTACAGATCCTTTATTGACAGATTTGCTGCTTAAGAACTTACATACGTTTCCTTTTGCAGGTCAGCAAGTATCTCAAAGACTCTTGGCTCATAGATAAGGACAAGGACAAAGACAAGCCGTCTGCCCTAGCTCCGCCGGAGCGTCTGGAGCGGCGCAACTCCGCGGAGCTCTACCTCCACCTGGAGGCTGGGGATGACCTGCGCTCTCTGGCGGACGAGAGCAAGAACAGGATGCGGAAGCTGCTGAGTAGCTACGGTCTGGAGACGACGGTGGATCAGCAGCTCATGACGTCACGAGTATGGGACTGGATAAACAGCTGTGACTCAACGACTCCCGACAGTCCGGAGAGTGGATGAGAAAGAGTGACTGGGGTTGAGCGGGAAGTGGGAGTTGGTGATAAGAAGAAAGTTGAAACTCCAGGATAAAAGGTGAAAATAATTGACGCTTGAAAATGTGAGCTAGAAATCCCATTTTCTCACTACTAATTTAATTTAATCTTTGGCGATATATGGATTAGATACTTGTGTTCAAGCAATTTTGAAAATTATAAAATAACGCTGTTTATGGAATACCATTGTTAACCAGGAGTTTTTAGATAGGATTACTGTTATACCTTTGACTAGCCTTTTGGATACGTATGTAGACGTACACAGATCCATATTTAGTTAGGCAAAAACATTTGCATATTTGAGAGAAATAAATCATTTTCTTTAGTGCTCTCTGCCGGTGTCTTAGTTCAACTACGTGCATTTGTATCTTGAAACTGGCTGTAAAGTTAATACGGAAATAAAACGCCTAGTTCTATTTATGGTAAAAATCAGAAGAGGGCGACAAAACTCTGTTAACACTTTGCTAATGACATGTAGTAATTATATATGAGATCAAATTACCTAGACATAATAGTGCATATTTAAAATAGGTCATTGAAGGATATGTGTCGAATGAATAGTGAAATCGAATTTTCTGTCAAAAGAAAATTAATGAAAGAATATTTTTTCCATGACATTGCACTTCAACTTGTCGTATTCGTCTTGATTGCGATTTCTTAAAATGTTATTGTTATGATAGATATCTGAGGTTGATGTTATTTTTTATACAGTACTAATATTAAAACATTTCGGTTTGGCTGAAACTGAAGAATATTGGCTTGGTGGTAGCCGTAGAATGTAGATATCAAGACTGTATTTATAATTGTTATAAAAATGCATTATGGCGATATGCGTTTTGATGAGGAATCGAAAGATTAGTTTTTTATTAACTTTATTTCGAGGTTTTACTTGGTCTTTGTAAAAGACTGATAGCAAGTGTCCTGTTTGGTAGTCAACATAAAGTGGTTTGTTAACCATCTCGTTTTAGAAGGTGAATGTTGTGTTGTGTAATATAAATGTAAACAGAATCATTGTGTAGTTCGTTATGATTAAAAAACACTTATCTGCTAAACACGTCTCAAAGAATATTTACCATAAAACATTACATTGTACAGTTATACCCACTGATAGAAAAGTGTATTCTTTTAATTGAACTCTGAGTAGTATGAGGACGAGTTATTAAAGTTCATTATACGAATTTCATCCTGGAAATAGTTTTCTGAAATCCTTACAATAGATAGAGTGGGTTAATATAGTTACAATATCACGTTTCTTTAATTGCATTGGCATAATTTACTTTTAATGTCACATTTTACCTTTTGAAACTATAAACTGAGTGACAATAAAGTACCTGACCAGTATTATAAATAATTTTTCTGTCTTCCCATCATAAATTTCGTCAATATATTTACAATAACTTGGTACTCATATGTTAAGGCTATTTGTATGCCCAACTGCCAAACATTTTTGTAAAATGCTGTAAGAAAACGCCATTTATATGTTGTATCACGAAAGTACGGCAGTATTGGCTTATGGATTTTCCTACAAGTGGTTTGCAGTATTAAGTCGTCACAGTTTCTTTTTTATGACAGTAAAACTTGTGAAGAATTTATCAATTTGTCATTAAAGAATTTGTCAATAAAATATTTTTTATAAAATAAACGTATAGAGTCAAATTATATGGACCATATCAATAGTTTAAATAATATAACATTTTAGAGTGTATATTTTGTAGAGGTTATAGTAGTAATAAAATTAGGTTTTATGTACAGAGCTTAGCTTTATATCCTCATCCTGTTATATTTAGAGAGATTTTAATGGTACAATTTATTCACCACCTAGTAAAATTAGTGAAATTGTAATTTTCTATGGATGTCAACAATATTTTAGAATCCTCACTGTTATATTTTTTCGTAAAAACAGCACATCTGAAAATTTTGAAAATACACTTTAAAAATACTACTACTTTTGATTGTTGTAAAAGAATGTAAATGTAAAAGAATATTATCATCCTGCGAAGGAACATTGCTTACGTTTGAAAATATTCAAGTTTTATTCATGCTAAATGTTCTCCACATTTTCATTTTAAATTCAGTATTGATTTTTGCAGAGTACAGTATATCGTTTTTCAAGAGACTTTTGACTATTTCGTTTAAGATAAAAATAACGTAATTTATTTCAGTGTACTTTTCAGTAGTAGATAAAGGTTTTATAATAAAAAAATAATATTGAAACATATTTTAGTATTTTTGTTATTTGTAGGTCTGTCTAAATTACAGTAAATGTCAGTACATTGTAAATCAAGCATTTGTGTAATGTTTAACTTCGAAAATAGTAGAAAGCCATCCTCCTTATTGTTCTTCACAGAACATGTAATAATAAGTTATGGCTTTGATATGTGTAAATTTATAGAAACCAAACTTTATATGTTAACTGTAGCATTATTTAGATTAAATCTTAGTAAAACCCTAGTAATAAATGTATTGATATACTTTATTAAGTGTTAACTTATACAAGTATGTACCAAATTACTTGACGTAAGTATAGTGTATATATTGTACAGCATAAAATTGTATATATTTTTGTACGTCTCACTTTGTGAAATTTGTATTAGGTGGCAAATAAACAAAAGTCACTAAATGCATTTTGTTTTATTCCGACCAATAATTAAAGGAGATTTAAAGTTACTGGTCTTACAGGCTGTGCTGTACCAGAGTATTAAGGAATCTAATAGTTCGGTCATTTTTTCACAAGATTTTGGCCTACTACCCTTTTGGATAGAATGATATTTAATGTATTAACAGCTTTTTATCATATAAGACAACTGCAACAGTAATTTCTTATATCAAACGAAAAATAGTATACCTTAACTGGAACATGCTAACTAAATATTTATGTAGGCCTATGCATTTTATAACAAATAAGCTCAATACAACAATATTGACAACCTTCTTACTTTGACAGGTACAGTAACATTTTAATGTTAATCTGTAAACTATCTTTTTGTGGGATTTTCCCACCTAAATAAAACCTAAATTAATGAGCTACTATTTAAAACATATTTTTTATTAACAGAAAGAATTCATTTTATTCACCAACTTTAGGTCATATTCATGTTGTCATCATTATCTTTAAAAAATACAATAACAAGTAAAGAAAACAAATCATCACAATCATTAGGTTAAGTTAATTTTGAACTATGGGAATTTGATTATTTACTTTATTAATTTTATATTTTATATTATATCTTATAATACATTAAATACAGCATATTATAATAAATAATAATTTAGATTATTTCTATAATTAATATGGCTAACAACCTAATACCTCAGCCTGAAACAAGCATATAATTGAAGACATCAAATTCAACAAATTTTGTTTAGCTGAAACAAGTTACCTTACTCCAAATTACGGCCAAATTAAACAAAATGTAAATCTCTAGTGGCAATCCGAACAATTAGTGCAACGAAAAAATATATTTTTAAGTAAGAAGTAAAATTCATATAGCTACATAGCATTGAAAGTCAAATGACAATAAAGGTGTTTATTTTATACTAAGCAATCAACAATTAAATATAACACACCTTCACAGTATTAGCAAACCTAAATATCCATTAAAATTTATATTATTATAATAGGAAATAAATCTGACTAATTCAAGGGAATAATTTAGTACAAATCCAGCCGGTAAATGGAAAATCGCTTAGTCTGCAGGTTTGCTGCAGCCGGGTAATTTTTCATATATCAAACATTCGAATAAATATCAAACATGTTTAAAACCTTTAAATATATCGTTATAAGAAAATACCAGACGTCAAAGAGAATTCAGAACTCTCAAACGACCGCGAGCTATATTATAAATAAAGTATAAATTTACTTCTATTTGGAGTTTTAAAAGGTTGACACAATTCTGGGGGAACTATTTGTGGCAGCGAAGCAAAGCCGAACACGATTCCCAAACAAGAGTATCAAGTGAACAAAACGTTTGTTTAGGGGTTGTTGAAGGTTAGGGGGTGGTGGGAGGGGTCAAATACCCAGGTATGGGGGGGTGTACCCACGCGTGGAACCATGGCAACAGTGGCAACCCCTACTGGAGCTTCACAAGAAGTTATTTTCGTCGCACCCACACCTGATTTGCATAATGATCTTGTGTTTCTCTATTCACAAAGGATTTATGCAACTCCCGAAGTGTAATTATCACACTTTGCCACACAATTGCTATTACTATTTAAGTTACTTTTAAAAATACATTTATGGATATTTTTATTATTAGTGAATTTACCAGGGAACCAGATATGTTTGGTAAGGCATTGACGATATCTTAAGGGCAGTATTAGAGGAGTAAATGCCAGTTGGATGGTTTGGATCGTCCCCATGTAACAAGTCCTTTGACGTAAAATCAAAACAAAATTAATACATACAAATTATGAAGAAAATGTACAATGTGTGTTTTTGCATTATCAAAGCTGATGAAATATAATGAATTTTAGATGGTTGGTATGAAAAGAGGAAAAAAGTTATTCGTCACTCATTTGAGAATTTGACCCAAATGTAAAGTTGCAAAATAATAAAACTAATCTAGAGGCTATATTTTCTTATGGCAATAATGTAAATATTTAATATGAATTTGCAATTTAATTTGTTGGTTCTATGTATTTATTTTTTAACTTAGGTTTGTCTAAGCCGTTGCAATTTTTAAGGAGTGTTTAGGGAACGGTCCAACCCCTGGTTTTGTTTAGAATTAAAACTGTCGCCTTGTTTTCTGAAGGTTCGATTCCAAGAGGGGTTGTTACTGTTACATCGTTAAGGGATCTAACAACCATGAGCCATGGGAACGTTTTTGTAACCTCAAAAGTGTGTCCTTGAGGACAAAAGTGTAGGTTTTGTTACAATTGGAAACTAACAAAATATTAAAGTATTAAAGTAACAGTTTGGTATGGTGAAGTGAGGTTTTGCATATGAATTGGCAACTAATTAAGAAGTTTTTTTTAACGTAGTATCATCTGTGTCAGTTAGTTATGGTACGGTACGGTAGTAAAAGTCGTGGTAAAACTCACCACGACTGGACCGTGAATACAGTAATAATATTATTTAAATGATTTAATAAATAATTATTTAGTTTTAGTGATTAAGAAGTGATTTAGTTTAAAGTTGATTGCTTATAGATAACTTGGTCGCTAACAGAAACTGGTCGTGTTTAGCCTTAAGTCAAGTAAAATATTCGTGACATTCACTGAAGTACATTTGGCGTGTTAAAATTTTTTTGGATTTTTGTTGAAAATGACGATACCGTTACCATTTACGGATTCGTGGCATTATTTTTGAATATTTTTTAACTGTTTTTGTAGATGTGGGCAGTTTTGCCCTTAGGACATCAGGATCAAACTAGTAGCCCTTTATTCTATAGAGGGATTAAAGTGTATTCTAATAGCTTCTGTAATTAATAACCTTGCCTGAATATCGAAGTATGCAAAAGAAGGTATTGTTCCAATCTATTATTTTTGATTATCAAAAGCAACAACAGTTTCAGTCTGTGCATGTGTTCAAAAGTATAATTAGTTAGTTAGTGAGTAAGCAAGAAGATTTTTGAAATAAAGATTGTTAAAGGATTTTTAATAATTAAATTTAAATCCAAACCTTTAATAAACATTAATAATAAACGTGTTTACGGTTCTCAATAAATAACTATATTTATCAGTGTTCTTCGACAATGACAAAAAGTTTAATCTCAAACGAAGACCTTTCAAACTGTTTCGCAATATTGCAAAAGTTTCCCCGAAACAGTTTCGTGCAACTAAAATGGACGTTGAAGTCTAAAAATAACTTTCAATTTCGATCGAGAATGAAATGTCAGTCAGCGGTTTGTGATGTAGGGCACTGACCTCACCCTGATGTCTATTGACAGTTGTTTTCTCAGTTTCAACCAATGTGCTATTTATATCGCAGATTCACCGTAATTTTCATTTGTTATGATAACGTCGAGTGACAAGTTTTACTTGTCTCACGTTGTACCAGAGTACAGCTTGTTGAGAAATTGCTGTTATATTGTAGAGAAAGATTGTTGTCTCGTTTCGGGTGTTTGACGTGTGGTATTTTTGAAAGCAAATATGTTTTAAATGTGTAGGTAGTGTATATAATATATACTTATTATATTTTTTGGTAGTAGTAGAATTTTAAGTGGGAAGTGACTGGTAAATACTTCTAAAAAGTGTTTTTCTAAAGCATTTAACACATACAAATAAATTTTTAGAAGAAAATTAAAAATAGAGTCATAAATTTGAATTTAAGGAGCAAGGAACAATCTTCAGATGAAAAATATTTTAAAAGTTAAGTGAGTCTTTTAAAAGGACTTTAACGTGTGCAACTGTTCAAGCGCTTCTCGCGGCGCTGTTTGATGGCGCAACATAGCTATATACTGAGGCCCGAGTTGAGATTTCTAAGCTGAGGTAGAGCGCACCCTGTGAGTGTTCAGTGAGAGTTTTCATACATGTGCTTTTCTGTCTTAATCACATTCGTGTATCGGGTGCATTCTGTGTTTGCGTATTTATAATTCTTGCAAATGTAATCTCTCAATTCTGTCATACCAATGTAGATTCACATCATTGTTGCTGTAAATTCTCAATTTTCATCTTGCTTTGTCATAATTAACGTTACTGTTTCATTTCACAAACACAATGGTTCTTGTTAACTTATAATTCAATCAATGTCTTGTTCTTGTTTCTGATTGGTCATTGTTGTTGTTAAAATTTTGTTCTGTATTGTATAAAACTAGTCATTGTCACTGTTATTGTATTTGAAACTCTATTATTGTTCATTTGTACATAACTCTTTTTTATTACAAATATATACTATGTTAAGAGTTAAACATGTTTGTTGTAAATTGGCTTTTGCCGTTTGCATAAATAAATTAATCAGTTACTTTCACTTAGGCCTATAAATTACATCACTCTCGTCTCTATGTAAATCAGCTATTGCTTAGCTTGTAATTTCTCTTAAAAATATATAATTTATCATAGGTACTAATTTATTTGTTTTATAACTGATTTAAGTGATGGCAATGAGTGCTCTAGTTATATTGTCTATACTGTAATTACTTTACGAGTTAATCACAACAGTAGACTAATGTGGTAGTTTAGAGTATGTTTCACAACAAAGCAAGAGCATTAAAGTAGAACTGTATGTTACATGTTATCTAAATTAAAAATGATAATGCTTATACCTTAGGTTGGTGGGAGATTTTAGTATTTTAGTATCTAGATTGAAAAATAAATTGAGAGGTAAGTTTTGAGAAAATTAAAACATGGAACGTTTGGTATGGGAATGATTTAGGAATCAAAACTAGAAGTACATCCGGTTTGAATAAACTTCGTCAGAATGCTCGATGTTTTTCTTCGCAGTTGGTTTGCAGGGTAAATGTAGCGTATTGAAAGTAGCCGGCGTGGGACTAGATAGGTGATACGGCGTTCTACCTTATATTTACGTAAGGTAATTGATTAATGGCTGGTGAAACTGTGGTAATTCATTTGAAGCTCCTACTAACATTCAACCTGTAAATTACTTTACATAATGTTGGATTTAACGTTGACTTAGATTTATTCTGGCGTTTCGTTTACATGGTGATTC